GCTGCCCTGGGCCCCTTCGCTCAACGAGCCGGAGCAAGCCCAGAGCTAACAGGGAGCAGGGCCTGCTCCCCAGCCCAGGGTTTGGCTCTCTGCCTGGGAGCCAGGGGCGCCGTGCAGGCTCTAGGTGCCGGCAGCCTCACCAGCCAGCTTGACACAACCTTGCACCCAGGCTCCCCGGGAGTAGCCCACCTGCAACAACCACACAGCCCCATGCTGCAGCCAAGGGCTCCTGCTGCACAGCTAGGGGTACATGCAACAGCCTGGGAAGTACCCATCCTCTTCCCTGAGCCCAGGTCCCCACTGAGGCAGCACCATCCTGGCAGCACTCCAGCTCAGGTCGCACATCAAGCGGTCCCCAGGAGGCTGGAGGAGCTGCAGCTGAGCAGGCACCGGATGGTTGTTGGTCCAAGAGCTATGGGGGAGGGGGGAGAGTGGCAGTTATGGGGGGAAACCCATTGCTACAGCTGCAGACACCCAGGCTGGGTGCAGGGCTACCACTGGGTTCCCCATGCACTGGGAAGGGGAGAGGGCCAGGACACTTTGCTGTGGTCCCCAGATTCCTGGTGCTCAGCTGGAGGAAGCAGGGAGCCCCAAACAAGGTCCCCCTTTATCCACCCCAAGAAACCCATGTTTGTTACCACTTGCCCTGCTGCGGAGCTTCTCCCCCTCCTCGTCCCAGCCTCCCCAACAGGCCAGGCACCCCACAAAACACTATCACCCCGCAGATTAAGCCAGACTGTCATTTCACTGCGACCACTGAGCCAGGCATGGGACCACATCCTCCCAGCCACATCCTCTCCAATGTTGGGGGCAAGGGTGTGCCTAGCAGGGCTGTGTCCCATCCCAATCTGGGCCCTGGAGAGGGGGAGCAGAGCTAGCCTGGGCCCTCCCAGCGCCGGGCCCCCCCCAGCCCCAGCCAGCAACATCAGAGTGGTTCTGCCGTGCCCTGGCTATGGCCAAGGTCAGCCTGGTCTCCCCCCATGACACAGGAGGCACCCAGGCATGGCACCTCGCTCCCAAATACCATCAGTGTGTTGGTCTCCAGGGCTGGGGTGCAGAGTCTCCCCCAGGACCTACACAGAGCAGAGGCCGCTGGGGCATGCACAGTCAGGTACCAACCCAAGAGTGGGACCCCTAACCTGCCCAGCCGGCTTCTGCAGGCTGGGGGGAATCTGGGGTCTGCTATCAGCAGGTCCAGCCAGCCAAGGCGCAGGGGGTGCTGAGGAGCACAGGTGCTGAGCAGCACAGTGGTGCCCACATCCACTGCCCCCTCTGCCTTCTAGAGACCAGATCAGCAGCTGTGATCTGCTTAGTGATCGCACCAAAGGAGCCAGCCCTAACAGGCAGGAAGCCATGGGACCAGACAGTTTCCCTTCCTGATGCCCAGGGGCTCTGGCTGCAGGCTCATACCCCTGCTGTCACCAGAAGCAGAGGCACCACTTCCACCAGGGAGCAGCGGGCTCAGCCAGCATCCCGTGAGTCTCATTCTGTCCCCCCCTCGCTGCTCACACAGGCAGAGCATAGTGCCAGCAGCTGCTCAGGGAAACCCTGCCCCCCCCTCCCCCCGCCCAAGCTGGCTCCCACACAGGGTACAAAGTACAGTAGGAGCAGCTGTAGGCATTATCCGAACTCCAGCACTCAGCTACTCCGGGAGGCTGTTGTTGCCAGGACTGGAGCTTGGCAGAGCAGTGGCACAGGACTGGCCACAAGTCTATGCCAGTGGTGCTATCTGGAGGGTTCGGAGGGAAAATACCATCCTGTTCCCCAGCTCAGTGTGGGACTGCAGCAGTGGCACCAGTAGTTATTGTGCAACACCCCTGCACAGGACACAGGTCCAAACACAGCTGGGCTGGGCACACAGCAGACCCTGCTCAGCTTCTGCTCTGGCTCCAAGGGGAGAGCTGCACAGTGGGATCTGGGGGTCTGTCAGGGCTGGAAAGAGCCCTCCTTCAGCT